TTTATTAACTTTATTCAGTATCCCGTTACTTGCCCGATTACTTTTTTTTTTTTTTTTTTTAAAAAAAAAAAAATTTCGTATATTTTTTAAATTCTTAAAAAAATACAAATCGTATTATACGTAAACGCCATAAAGTCATCAAGATCTCATGATATTATTGTCTTTATAACTTATGACCTAAACAGCATATACTTAAAAGTAATTGTAATTACTTTTCTACATAATTTAAAATTAATACAATTATACTTTTTCTTACAACAATTTTTACATTTTTTTCCTTCCTACCCATCGAATTATGCAATATATCGGGCGAAATGCTTAAAAAAAATAATGTTTGTTTTGAAATAGAAAATTCTTGCCTAAACTATAAAAGGATATAAATCTATTTATAAATATGTAGTGTGGCGTTGTTTTAACATGGCTTGTGATGGTGTAACATATATATACGCGAGAATTCAATTATAGGAATTATAATAAAAAGTAGAGTCGTGATTGAGTGAAACTTTAAATTAATTATAATTAAAGTTGTACAATATAAATTTTACTTTACATACAGTATATATTATTAATATATACATATCTTCTTGTAATTATTATTATTTCAACAACAACAACAACATACGTATATATTGTAATTTATCTCTGTAATGAATAAATGAATAAGTCTAATCTAAATTTATTATAATTTGTAACTTTAGTCTTCTAAATTCTAAATTGCCGTATGTGTTATGTGAAATACGATTAAATATGATATTCTTGGAACTTGGTGTTTGCTACTTTTGTTTGTATCATACAGTAATCATGAAAAGAGAACAACAGAGTTATCAGAGGCATTGTACTTACGTACAGTACATTACAGTGTAGTAGACTATTTTAGATACGAGATAAGATTATTTTTGAAGGACAAAAAAGAAACGAGATTTAAAAAAATTCCATGAAAGGAAGATGTGTGAACCGTGTGATAATTAAAAATAAAAAAGATTTAGATTATTAGATCATTGATATACTGATCATTTTTATTAATAACTCTATCAAATTAAAACGCGTCATTTATCACGATTTCATTCGGTTGTGAAAAGTGTTCAAAAAGAATATTCTTGAATGTCTTTAATATTATGAATTCTATTTTTTTTTTTTTTGTTTCCCTATTTTAAAGAATCGCGAAATACTGATGCACATATAAAACACCTATAACTGATAACATTATATCATATTGTGTTACGTGGGATTTCCAAATTATCATAACAGACCTTAATTTGTCAAGTATCTGTAATATATTAGGTACACAATAAACATTTTATTGTAATTATCATAATTGTTAATTATAATCATAATTTTTGTAATTCTAGATCTTTTATTATGGGGTTTCAATAATTCATGTGCATGTCAGGGAATCGCGAATCCTTTGAAGATTATTGAAAATTACGATAAAAAAATTTTTTTTTTATTTGCATATCAAAGAATATAAATAATAAAGTATCGTCAATACATAGTAAAATTATATATATTTAGGTGTCTATGACGTTATGAATGTGTTAAATATAACAAGATAATATACTGTAACAGGTTTAAAAAAAGAAAAAAAAAACAAGATAAGCCGGATTTTGATAATTTCATACGGCGTAAAAACAATTTTTCCGAGCTCTCTCCCCCTCCTTTTCTTAAAAGAACCAGATTTAATCAAAAAAGAATTTTTTGTTATTTTTTACATACAAGTTATTGATTAAAAAAAGAAATCTTGTCCAGTAATATTTAAATTAAAGATTGTTGTTTACAACATTGTTTTTAAAAAAAAGAAACCCGTCTTGTCATACTTTTGAATTAAAAAATATATATATTGGTGAAACCAATTAAGTATTAATTTCTATGTTACAAATATTTCCTGCTTTTATACAATATTTTCCTTAATGCGATTTTATTGTACTGTACTGTATGTATGTAGTCATAAAATAATAATTATAATAAAATTAGGAAATTTTTTAAAATTTCTAAAAAAAAAAAAAAATATATTTATCAAAAGAAATAAACAACTTATCAAAGAAGGATTTTAATTTCTATATTTTTCTCAAATTTGTATGATATGTAAATATTAATATTAATCTCATTATTATAAATTAATTATTACCCGCTTAATAAAAATAAAGTTCTCTCTCAAAATATTTGTAACCAAAATTTATTAGTTTATTAGTAAAAAGGTATGTGCGTAATGCATCCTGTATATGTTAACACTAATTTTACATTAATTTTCACATTAATTTACAAATATTCTTTTTAAATTCATCTTATCTATTAAGGATCATATAATAGAGAAAAAATGGCGGAAAAAAAAGATATTGTATTAAAAAAGATCAAAAATGTATATAACTTTATTCACAATATAGTATATTGTCAATTTAGAGAACACTTTATCAAGGTTTGACCTGCACTAGATGCACTTTGCTGCATCTAAAAGAGAGAGAATATTGTACTATACAACAAAACTATCAAAAAATTACATTATTAGAATCGCGTGACGTTTATTTACATATCCGCTGTTCAGTAAGTTAGTCAGGTCAGGTGTTAAAATCACGAGAAAGTGGCAAATTTCCTTATAAAATAAAAGTGATTACAAATTTATAACTAATAATGTGTTACCCATGATGTATATGTGAAGCGAATAAGCTTAAGTACAACATGATGAAATATGTCAGTGTGATAATGTAGGTTGCATTGTGTTTTGGCGTTAATCTTTAAAAAGATAAGTATGCTGCAAATTATTCTGACACTTTACTGATTTTGGACTTTGAAGATAGGTTAATGTGTGAACGAACAATGCATGGAACTTGTGTTGTGGGATAAAGCGAAAAGTTCGGTTGTAAATGTTATGTCATTATTTAGTGACCATTTTTAATTTGTGTTTCAGATAACAATATACTTATTTGATGCTATTATCCAAAACTTTAATCTTTCGTTACAGAATTAAATGTTTTTCAATTTTCCATTATTTTTCTTAATAATCTTTATGTAAATCTTTTTGTAAATCTTTGTAAAGTTTGTAAAAAATGTTTCTTGTATAGTTTCTTGTTTATTATTATAACTTCCTATTATAACTGTCTTGTTTATAATTTATAGCTTGTCTTGTTATAATAATAATAATAAATAAATATTCATTCATGTGCTATAACGATCTCCGACCGACCGACAACAATAATTATTACTATTACGTATAATAATTATTAACTAAAGAAATTGTTTTATTTCGATCCCTTTAAATTGACCATTGTTCATCCCTTACGCTAATGTTAGCTAGTTAATATCTATATTGGCTAATGTTACCTCCCTCTTTGTACATGTACATTATTCAACTATTCAACTATTCAACTATTCACGTGTTCTTCACCTTTTTTACGTTACCTACATCGTGTTTCTGCCTTGTTATACTTGTTATATAACTTGTTAAAATTAATTCTTTTTTATTAAAAATGTGATAGTCACAAATTTGAATTACCAATCTTACTTTTGTACTTATCTTGAAGCATACATACATATCTCTGACTTTAGTAATTTAACCAATATATGAAACCGGGAATTCTGTTTGTACAATGTTTAATTTGGTTTTGTGTCATGTTTCTCTAACTTTTGTACAACGAAAAATGATGGATTCTTAACAAAGGAAAATAATTTTCGTGGTATCAACAAATATCAAAATAAAAGAATATTGTTCTCTAAATTCTGTAATTATCTTTTTTCTTGAATGAATGCACACTTATGATATATTCATTGTTACGTATATACTTTCGTTATCAATTATGTTTTTAAAAAAATTATAACCTTTTCTACTACGTACGTATTTTCTACGTATTTCTACATAAAAAACTAGAACTAAAATATAATATCTTTAGACTTATCTATTGTTCTTAAATCTCATAATATAAATTTGGAAATTTTAAAAGAAACCGGTCTGGTCACAGGGTTAACGTTACATTATTTGTCCAAATTCGTCTTACCTAACTTTTAACCTATAAACTAAATTCGTTATTAGGTCTATGCATTAAACTTTAAAATCATTTGATATCATGCGCCTTAATCTCGGGTTTCTCAAGTTTTTTTTTTTCCGTTAGTGCCGCCATTTTTTTTGTTACTAGATTTTTTCAAAACAAAAAAAAAAAAAAAAATTTGAAAGCTAGTTTTTTTTTTTTTTTTTTTTGATCACAGAGTATTCGTTTAATGTTACATATAAATATTTTTGTTAATTAATTTGATATCTTTTATTTGTTTATTTGTTTACCTATCTTTTTTTTTTTTATTTTCTATTACCTAATTCGCTAAATAGCGAAAATGTAAATTCTGATGTAAATTCTGATGTAAATTCTGATGCAAATTCTGATGCAAATTCTAATGTAAATTCTGATGCAAATTCTAATGTAAAATTCTGATGCAAAATTCTAATGTAAAATTCTGATGCAAAATTCTAATGCAAAATTCTAATGCAAGATAAGTAATAATAATTTCTTAATGAGCGTAATTTTTATTTCTTTACTTTATTTGTAATAACCGTCAAAAATCCGTTATACAACATTAAATAACTTTATTGAAAAATTAAATGTTTCTTTGTCGTTATTTACAAAAGATTTTTAATTAATTAATTTGTACTGCTTGTGTGAAATAAATTATTAATACTGTAAATACAAGAATTTTTAAATTTATAAAAATAAAGTCCAATTAATCCAATTTAGAAAATAGAATGACTATAACGATAAATTTATCTCCGTTCTCTTATTTCAACTACAGTCATTTATATTTACGAATGGTTAAAAAGTACTATGAACCTTCTTTTTTTTTTTCAGGAGACATTCACAGTATCTCTTCTTCATTGCCTGCAAAATAAAACCATAATTTGATCTCCTTGAATTGACGATTACTAATATTGTATTACATTTATGTTCATTGATTTTTTCTTTCTAAATTCAACGAAAATCTTTTTTATTATCAGTTATTAAAAACTAATACGTAATAATGCTTGATAATAATAAAAATAATAAATTATACTTTAATCAAATATTTATCAATTCGATCCTGTTTTAAAGGTTAAAAAAAAACTTGCATAAATTCACCCCGTTATGCAATTTATTTTTATAAAAAAAAAAAAAAAAATTTATATTCATATTATTCTTGGTTAATTTATCATGCAGAAAATCTGTTTTATTGGTGCAATGTTTAAATTTAATTTAATTTAATTTAAAAATAATGCATCTACAAACGGGAGTAATTTGATAATCATTACGAAACTATTTAACTCAAGGCCGTTAGTAAAAAAACGGTTTAGTTTCATTCTAAATTTTTAACTAAATGCTAAATAAGGAAATAATGATTTAATTAAATTCAAATTTAGAAAGTTGATCACGTTAAGGTTAATTCAAATTTTTTTTTTTAAATCTAAAAATTATGTAAATCTACCGATGTGAAGGTTTTTTTCTTTTTTATACTGTAAACAATAAAAAAAAAAAAAAAAACGTGGAAAATGTGATTTTCTTTACTTTCATGTTTTGTGCTAAGCCACTTGAAAATTTTCTATATCAATATTTATTATGATTATTTAATATGCATACAATAAATCAGTTTTTGTTCCAATTTTTCTACTTAATAAAGGATCTAATACTCCCAAAAAAAAAAAAAAAAGTTAAATAAACTTTTATATATGTGTTTATAGATTATGTGAATTAGTGTGGGGCATAGAGGCATAAACTTTTCTTTTCTCTACACATGGCTTTAGCATGCCCTTTAAGCATACTTCTGAATATATAAAAAAAAAAAAACTTTTCATGCCCATATGGGCATAAAAGAACCCGCATAATACTAATAGATGTAGAATTATTAAATATAATATGAAAAATTTTATATTATTTAAATGTTTATTTTTAAAAAATTAATATATATATATATGGGGTTTTTTAAAGAGTAGCATTTAAAATATGACATAATTTTATTAAAAAAAATACAATGTCTATTTATTATTACGTATCTGGATTATTTAAAAAAAATAAAAAATAAATAAAAAAATAAAAAATAAAAAATAAATATAAATTTTATATTTGATTGGCAGATTAGTTCGTAATGAACGAAGATTGAATTTTTCTATATCAGATATCAGATATTGATAATGATAATTCCGTAATTACATTTACTTGTAAACAAGTTCGCTTTAGTCAAAAAGAGCTGTTAACCTGACTAAGCTTTGCTGTAATCTAAGAATTTTGTGATCATTTGATATAATTAAAAAGTTCACGTGATTAGAAGTTTTCAAAAAGTTTTTTGACTATAGCAAAACTTTTACCACAATAAGTCTTACTGTGATATAAAATTAGAACTTTGCAGTTTAGATTAGATTTGATCAAACCATAACTTGAACCCATATCTGAACTAAAAAAATCGTGACTTTCTGAACCTGACTTAAACCAATAATCTCCAAATTCGTATTGAAATTTGAACACAAATTGGTTTGGGTGTAGCTTACTTCATAGAAAATCGCCTTTGTTTATAGACAATTACATACAACTAATTCGTAGACTTATTTCACAAATAACTTGATTTAAGAAAAAAAACTTATTTGTAAAAAATAAGCTTTCTAAACTAAGTTGTATAATAATATTGAGTCTTTGCCTTGAAAATCAAGGGTTGGTCATATGATTACTATGTCCCATAAGGTCTTTCCAAGGCAAAGACCCCATATATCATTTTATTCCAAGTTTTCTACTTATAATAACTTATTTATCATCGTTATTGGTAGTGTTTCAATCCTATTTTTCAGAGGCTATTCGGATTAACTTCGGATCCTCTTTTACCTATTCGGTTGATAATGTGAATCCGGATTTAATTAGTAAATTACATTTGTATTGAGTTACCAGTTATTATAACGATAATAACGTTTAAAATTAAGGGATAAGGATATCTGCATCTAATCCGAATTGGTCGGATTACGGACCGAAACACTAGTTATCGTTAAAGCATCCAATAATTGATCGGGAGATGTCAAATTCTGGCACAAACACTTATTGGTGCGTAGCGTCTCAATAACTGATAACAGTATTATCGATATATTACGACGATCGAAGATGCACAGGGAGAAGTCACGGGGATTGAATCTTGAATTGGGATAATTGCGCGAAAATTAAGATGAAATCGAAGAATAATAACACAATGAGTAAAATAACCAAACAGACTAAACTAAAGCCAGAATGCTAACTATCTCTATAGGTCCGCCTTAGCACACAAAGTGCTTATTGCCTATAACTCAGACAAAATTATAAGAAAATACAAAGGAATAATAATATAAATGAGGACGCATTTATAAAGTTAAGTATTTTATTATTTACTTTTAAGAGTACTAGGTCTCAGACCCGAGCGTTGCTCCGGGTGCTAGTTTTTTTATTTTTTTTAGTTCTTAAATTTTTTAAAATCAAACTTTAAATAAAATATTAGTTTTTTTTAGTTATTAATTATTAAATAGTTAAATAATTTTTTTAGTTTTTATAAAAATTAAGTATATACTTTCGCTACGGCCATCGCCTCCGCTTCAGTATTTTTACTAAAACCTATTATACCCTAATCCTAACTCTAATCCTAACTCTAACCCTAACTCTAACCCTAACTTTAACCCTAACCCTAACCCTAATTCTTACTCCTAATTCTAATTCTAATTTTCTAATCCTAATATTAAAATTTTTAATTTTAACTTTAATTCTATATTTATCTTAAAACTTAACAAATATAATGTTTAATATACTTATATAGTATAATATTATATGCAAAACAAAATTACTTAGTACATAAAAACAGAATTAATTAGTAAAATTTTGAAAATCTTGAAATTTTTAATAATTTTATTAATAAAATTATTAAAAATTTTAAAATTCTCAAAATTTTAATAATTAATTCTATTTTTATACTTTAAGTAACCTGATTCTACACAAAAATTTATAGAAAATATATTATTATTTAATATTTATTAATTTTAAAGAAAAGATGTAGAATTTTAGAATTTTTGATAAAAAAATACAAAACTCAGTATTATTTTCTTATTATTTATAAAATTTAAAGTTTAATATACTGATATAATATAATCTTATTCTTAGAACAAAATTACTTTATGTATAAAAATAAAATTCATTAATAAAAATTTGAAAATCTTAAAATTTTCAAAATTTTATTAATAAATTCTATTTTTATACTCTAAGTAATTTATTCTACACAAAAATCTATATTAGAAAAATATATTATTATTTTATATTTATTATTTTTAAAGAAAAGATATAGAATTTTAGAATTTTTGATAAAAAAATCTAAAATTCAGTATCATTTTCTTATTATTGATAAAATATAAAGTTTAATATATTTAAATAATTAAATAAATATTTTTTAAATTAAATAAATAAAATTTATTTTAAATAATTTATTTTATTTTAGTTTTTATACTAAATAGTTTATTTTTTTAGATTTTTAAATTTTTTTAATTAAATAATTTGATTTTTTTTTTAATATTTTATTTATTAAATTAATTTTTTTATTTTATTTAATTTTGATTTTTTTAATTTTACTTTGCTATATTTTATTTTATTTTATTTTATTTTTTTTTTTTTAACTTAGGCGATCTTGCCTATCATTTTATTAAGAATAAGCTAATTTAAGCTACAAGTAAAATGCTATACTATTTATAACAAACTACTTTCCTAAAACTAATCCGAACTCACTCAGTTACTTTTTAACATCTAAGTGTGATCTGCTGCAGCAACTATTTCTCTCGTAAGAGTTTAAATTTGTATATACAAATTACTAGCTCTTAGTCAGCAAGAGGCTGCTACTAGCCTATATCAAAATCACCTAATTTGTTTTGAACTTTAACTATCCTTCCTTACCATCTGACCTTATCCATCTGTCAACTCTGTCAGAAGCTACTTTTTGAATTCTTGTTTTTTTTTTCTTTTTTGATTCTTTTGTTTTATTTATAGGAGATATATTTTCTTTATTCGCTTTTTCTTTTTTCTTTATCTTTTTTCTTTTTTTTTCTTTAGTTGTGATATTGTGGTTTTTTTCTCATTTAACCATCACTTCACACCTGAACTTTCATAATCATTCGTAGAAACAAAACCAGAATTGTTTAATAAAACTAATTAATACCTTGTTTGCCTTGCTTTTGGACTTTGCTATTTTGCATATATCTGCATATTGCTTCTTATTTGTGAGGCCTCTGAAATGCATCTTTCTGATATACATCTTCTCTTCTGGGTTTTCACTATAGAGTACCTTCCTCAATACGTCATCCTCAAGTAATAGATCCAACTTTGTTAATACTTTGAAACTTGTTAGATATAGAGTTTTCTCTTTTAGGTTCCTTCATATTTTTTAGTAGATTTTGTATTCTGCTAGGTGATACAAAGTT